ATATATAGATATGGGATAATAAACGAGTAGTTGGTACGTGAAATAGTATGGGAATAAAATCAGGTGAATGAATAATTTTATTATTCCTTCGTGATGTTTATTATCCGATCGATATTTTGTAATATCTTTAATAAATTATCCAAGGAGTAATATATTTTTAAATATAATAATTATAATAAAATATTATCACAAATATATATATGATTAATAATAAATTATGAAAATATAATATAAGATACGATCTCTGTCAGTTGATTATTTAATATTAAACAAAATATGATGATATTACATATATACGAGAATTGTTAAGAAAAGTTTTTGAGAACCTAACGAAGAAACAATTTCTCCTTTTTTGGTTTTATTTTACTTTGTAAAAGTTATAATTATTAAAGTATATTATATTTCATTCTCAAGATAAAGCATCACCCCTTATTAAAAATTGTACACATTTACGTGGACACGGGTTGAAAAGTTTGTATATCTTAACATAGAAATAATTTATATATTTTTTTGATCAAACTTCATTTTTCTACGACTCAAAACTTTTCTCAACTGATGCTCGTATAATATAACGATCATTTATTTAGAAAAAAAAACAAAACGAGAAACTATTGATCAAAATAATAGAAGTATAAAGTATTATGTAATATAGGTAGAGGTGTACAGATTACGCGAAATAAATTGTAAACATCATTGAACGATCGATGTATTCATCACCTGTATTTACAGTCGCTCGTTGATCAACGTTCATTGTCGGAGAGATATATCGAAAGAAGGATGGGAATGGCAGAGTTGAAGAGGAGGAGGAGGATGGGGGATGAAGGGGGGTTACCGGAGGAGTCTGGGGAATTAATCACGCGGCCAGGTAATTCGAGTCTTCAGCATCGACCGCGAATTAATCCGACGTAAAACAACGGCCGTCTTTCGTCTGATACGGACGATTAATTACTCCGGTCACCCGGTGGATTAGCGATTTGGTCGAATGAAAATTGTTCGTGAGATCGAAAATCTAAACTTTGAAAACTCTCTTGTTCTAAAGTTCATCTTACGTGTTTTTTACGATACTCATTGACTTTGTCGTTAATAAAGTCGAATTATTCAAATAAAAATTGATTCCTTTTGTAGAATTCAAATGATATATATCTGATTATTTATTGAGACATTCATAAAAGAAGAGGCCATTTAAAATAATCGATTATTATTATTTAAGATAGAAATCAAAAATGTGCCTAAATAGAAATGAATTTAGTTTCCGAGAACGATCTAATTTTTATTTCATCTATCATTATTGTAAGCGTAAAAATATATTACCAACGAGTGTTCTGTGTTACGTTTATATTTTTTTATTATTTTTTTTTTTTTTTTTTAGATAAACAAAATAAATATTCCATAGATAAAGATAGAATGGAACGAAATCCTTTCCTTATTTCTATTCTTGCAAATTAGAAAATAAATACGATGGAAAGAAAGTGTTTGGCAAATGCATGTCGAGTTTCTCATCTTTCCTGTAACTCTCCCTCTCTCTTTCTTTCTCTTTCTCTCTTCAAGTGCATTTAGTTTCTTTTTCTGTAGTGCATCTTTCATTCTATGAGAGGTTAGCATAGAACAGGGAAGATCAAGGAGGATGGATATTCTTTTTAGGAAGGATCATTGGTAGATCAAGGGGCTTATGCGAAACCATTCGTCGTCTGCCGTTAATTTATTTATCGTATAAAGAAAAAAAAAACAGAAAAAGAAAAAGAGAAAGAGAGAAGAGAAGAGAAGGAGTTCCATGGACAACAAATCTACCGTATTACAATGGCGCCGTGTATATCGCGAAATATATAGTAAGCAAGCATCTTTCTCTTTTTCTTCTTCTTATATATACATGTGCATGCATATATGCATGTATGCATTGGCGTGGCATGCAATGCCACGACAGAAGGACAACGAAGACGACGACGATGACGACGATGGTGTCTTCGTGGTACGAGTTTATGTATATAACAAGAAGAAAGATAGAACGTGAATATGTTGGCGTGCTTTCTCACACCCATAGGAATAAGAGAAAGATAGAGAGAGAAAGAGAAACCAAGAGATCGTTATCCCAGCGGCGGTTTGTGGGCCTAGACAAACGTACATAAATTGAATGCACCGAGATTAGGGGGTTGCTCAGCTGGTAACCACTTTGTAACAGTACCGAGAAACGACTGAGACGAATGGTAATAGTTGTTGGCTCTCTCTCTCTCTCTTTCTTTCTTTCTCTTTCTCTCTTAACTATCTTTCGTTTGGAGTCGCAAGTACTTTGAAAAAAAAAGTTACACGTAGCGTGTGTTTTTGATTTCTCGATGATAATATTCTATTTCTACGGATAATGTTTAAATCGACACGTAAAACGGCATGTCGGCTAATCGTTCCCATTCTTGTCCTATTGAAATTCGTTCTAGTATTATTCTAATGTTCATTCTAATTATTATTGAGATAATCGCGATCTTACAATACCCAACCCAATGTAATCCAAGTTTGTATCCTTCTAACGATAGAAGCATTCTCGTGTCGCATTTCTCAGTCTAAGATCTTTTCTTTTTCTTTTTCTCTCTTTCTCTCTCGAAGATAAATGTTTAGTTAATAGAATATACAAGAAGGAAAATGTTAGGGAACGGCCCGAGTAAATCGCATTGTCGTATAACTCTACACGGTTGTTGTTGTTCTCGCACGTATAACGGGGTTTAAACGTCTCAAGGATTATGCTAATACGATTCGCGGGCGATCGTGATTAAGCTCGCAGGTAATTTCGATGTTCGCAAGAGTGCGATTTCCACGATTAGCCCATGGGGAGTTAGGGGAAGGGAGAGACACAAATAGGGAGAAAGGGGGGAGGAAAAGGAGGAAGGTAAAGAAGGGTGGGAGAGAGATAGGATTGCCAGTCGTTTGATTTACATGTAAGCATTGTCTCTGGAGTGTACTTACCTTTGCAGGCCTTGCGATGCGTGATCGGCCTCGCCGGATCCCTATAGTAACCTTCTCGGCAATAATGACAGTGCCTTCCTGCCGTATAATGCCGGCACTGCAGGCAAACGCCTCCGCTGACACGTCCCGACAGCTTGTAGAGTTCCATGTTGAATCTGCACTTTCTCGCGTGGAGGTTGCAATTGCACTCTGTAACAGGGCCAAGTCGTCTTATTTGTCGTAATAATTATTTATTTATCGATTATAAATTAAGTCAATATCGAGATAACCTTTTTTGTTAACCTTTTTCTTTATTTCTTGCAAATGTATTTTTTCTTTTTTAAGGCTATATATATATATATATATATATATATGATATTATTAGTATATTTCTCATAGCATGGCTAGAATTGTAAATGTGTTTTGATCGATGGGAAAATATTTTGATCGTATCAGATCATTGAGACGGAATCGAAATCTGATATTTCTATGTTGATCTATTAATTGTTGAAAAATAATGTCAATTCATTGTTAAATTTTGGAAGGATCGTTAAGATATCAATTTATTATTGAAATATTAAAATAAAATTAACGGGTAAGTTAAATTTTGAAAAAAAAAAAAAAAATGTCAAAGTACAATCTTTATTGTCGTTCGATAAAATGGTATACAAAAAAACAACACCGCCACGCGCGAATGTGTAATTTTTAATTATAATTTTCATTAAATATTGTGTAATAATCGAAGATAATAAATTGCGATTGAACGATGGTAAAGAAAATTTGCCACGATCGTTCGTTCGTTCGTTAATATTATCAAACTTCTTGGAAGGTAGAGAAAACGGCGAGACTTTTTAATTCTTCTACTTATCGGGAATAATTAGTCTCGTGTTTATTCATTCAAACGCGAAAGAGTATAAGAAAAAGAAGAAGAAATAAGAGAGAGAGAAAGATAGATAGATAGAGCGTTAGGTTCAAGGGTCATTCGCGTTAACGAACGAACGGAACGGCGACAATTTCTTCGGATTCACTTGCTGGAAACGTGTTTCTTTTTTATGTTTTTTTTTTCTCTCTCTCTCTTTTTCTCTTCTTCTTATTCTTTTTACGAGCGACAGCAGCAGCAGCATCATCATCACCAACTTTGTACTTTTTGTTGTTCCCTCCTTTTTCTTTTTTCTTTTTCTTTTTAAACGGATTCTTATGTGAAAGTAAAAGATAGAAAGAGAGAAAGAAAGAGTAAAAAAAATGAAAGAAAAGTGATATAAAATCGTCGTTGAACGTCGTCTCATTGATCGCAAGTTGGCTGCTGTTTCGCGTCCATTGAATTCTGAAGCAGGAAAAGAGGAAACGAGAGTGGTTGCTTCTTCGAAAAGAAGAATCGTGCCGTAACTTCCCTTCGTTCGTCTCTTCGAGTATCTCCACGATACTCCGACGTTCTTCTTCGTGACTTCTTGAAAATAACGGAATAATTGAAAGACAAGTATGGCTCGTGTATGGTAGGTAGGTAGGTAGGTAGATAGGTACTGATGAAGAAGCAAAAGAGAAAGAGAAAAAGAATGAGAAAGAGAGAAAGAGAGAGAGAGAGAGAGAGACTAGTAGAGCGTTAGGAAGGGTTTGCAATTTTTACGACCCTTTCCACCAAGCCCTTTTCTTGAGAATCTTCTCGACCCAATAATCCGTGTACCGAACCAGGAAGAAAACGTATCTAGCTATGTAACTACGTGCATTGAACAGCTTTGCTCGAGCTTCTTGCAAACCTTTTTATTTCTTCTCTCTTTCTCTCTCTCTATCTCTCACTTTTTCTTTTACTCTTCTCCTAATCTTTCTCACGTGCGTTTACTTCACACGTTTTCAAACCACGGAGAATATCCTCTGTTACATCACGAACAATATAAAAGAAAATAAATTTCTTCTATTCGCCTCCGAATTCTCCGATAATTCCATTATCGTTTTTATTTTTTTTTTTACACTCTCTCTCTCTCTCTCTCTTTCTATTTTACTCAAGACCCTTTTTCTTGAGTTAGTATTACGGCCAGTATCAATTCGAATTGATTTTTATTGACCGCAATTTGCCCTATCGCACTTTTTCGATTTTAGAAAAGAATAAGGAAGAAATAACATCGTAGTCGTAGAAATTGAGATAGGCTTCCCTCTTTCCGGATAAATCGTTAGCGTGGGGGTTGGGGGAGAGGGGGAGGGAAGCGTGTGAGTGGCTTGTCCAATCGAAATCGAATTATCTTTCGCTTCTTCTTTTTCGTACCCTCGTTATCGGTCCTTTGTGTTTGTTCGATCGTTCGAACCTCGGCGAAAAAATAAAAAATACAAAAAGTATTGTAAAAACAAAAAAAATCATTTATCGTTTCTCTTAAAACAATTTAACAAAAATTCACGATCTACGAAATTAACCAAAAAAAATGTGACATTTGTCAAAGGAACGTTGAACGTATTAACTGTAATTCTTTCGGATTTATTAAAACATTAATTCATAATGCATTCGTGCTTTCGTTGAACGTGTTTATAAAATTTCGCAGATCATTAAATCCATGCCTCAAACAAATTTTCGTAGAAATATTATTTTAATTAACATTTGTGAAAATATCTAAATATTATCACACACCAACGTGTGTATATAATACACATTGATACCTTTCATACAAATTCTTTTTATATAATTAATTTAACGAATTATATTTTTTTTTTCATATTTCTCGAACAGCGTCGTGAATATTCACGATGTGTTGTTATATTGAAAAACATAAAAATGATGAAAGAAAAAAGAGAGAAATTTGTTGGTCAAACATTTAGTATATCGATAGGAACGTAGTGAAAGAGAATGGTTAAGAAAAAAAAAAAAAGGGTGTAGTTGAGAGAGTTTCTAAGAGAGCGTGCATCGGGTCGATCAGATAAACACGAGATAGTTAATAACCTCGTTCAGCCACCGTCTGAAATTCCACGATCGGTTCCTGTTATTAAGCTTTCTTCCTTGCACTAGGACTTGCAGGCCAACCGTGCCGCGAACCGCCTCCTCTTCGAGAGTTATTTTCGTAGCAGTGAAGAGCCGATCAATGCAATTAGAGATTAATCGTCGTTAGATTGGATCGATGATCATCGGTATTTAAGATCATGACATTATATCCTTATTTCTCTTTTTATCGATTTTCTCTTATCTTTTTTTTTACGTGAAAGAACAGAAAAAATCAACAGGTGGATTCTTATTTGAATATTATCATTTACCGTTTTATTACAGGGTAACGAAATATATTAATAATAAGGTATTATAATGTATAAGTATTTATATATAATTGAATTTTTAATATATATTTTATTTATATATATTTCATAACATAATATATCGAATTTTATTATTTATATTCGATCAAATATTTTAATATTCAGAGAAATATCAGAGATTGCAATGCTATTAATTGTACAACTTTGCTATTTCTTTGAAAAGTTTTGATAAATATTTTGTATACTTTTAGCAAATGAATTTTAATAAAACTTATATTAAATTAAAGTACACTCTTTTGTCTACGCGTAGAATACTATATCAAGTTATAAATTTAGCATGTAAAGTTCAAAAAATGTCAGAGAATGCAATGCTGTAAATTGTGCATCTTTACAATTTCTTTGAAAAGTTTTGGTAAATATTTTTTATACTAAAACTGAATAGATTTTAATGAAACTTATATTAAATTAAAGTACACTCTATTGTCTACGCGTAGAATACCATATCGAGTTATAAATTTAGCATGTAAATCTCATTAAATGACATAGAATGCAATGCTGTAAGTTGTGCATCTTTGCAATTTAATGTATATTGCAAATATATATATATATATATATATATATATATATATAGAATTGTCGTGTGTGTACTACTTGGAATCGATGAAGTGATGATAATTTATCTTGGTTTTTTCTTTTCTTTTCATTTTTTTTTTCAGGTAAGAAAATTAACAGGCCGATCGGAAATCTTCTTCTATCTCCTCTCCTCGGGCATTTTGCATCGTATTTCTTCGAAGAAGCAAAGGTATTTCTCGCACCCTTCTTCTTCTTATTCTTATTCTTCTTCTCTCGACAATCGTCCTATCGCACGCGCATCATCCTCTTCCTCTCATGGACCAGAATCTCGTGAACTTAATCTCCAGCTCGTTTTGTACTAACGACTCGAAGCGCACCCTTTACGAAGAAACAAAAGGAAACTATGAGGTGTACAAGGGATCGTTCGATGAAAGAAGAAGACAAAAATAAAAGAAAAAGTTGCGGGACATCGAAGGCACACATGCTGTTTAACAGTTCGAACCAGTTTCATGGTTCCAATATCGCCAAATCTTTCCTCTTTTGATTTACATTTTTTTCTTTTCGAAAAGATCTACTTTTTTTTTCCCTCCCTCAAATGCACTTTCCGTATTATTTTTCTAATTTTTTACTTTATTTACTTGATTTAATTTGATTTGATTTGAGATTTGATTTGATTTTATTTGTTATTTTCTTGTATTTTATTTGATATAAAATGAAAAATAAGTCCGTCAGCAATTTTTCTAACAAGATTTTTCTAACGAAAACAATTTAACCCGGGGCGTCTAATATATCGTCACAACGACTCCTAGAATCCAACTATAAACGCGAAGAAAAATAGGTTAGACAAAGATAGATACGTGATTCTCCGTAAAGCTTGTCTTGCGGTAAGCTTTCGTGGTTAGATAAACTGCTTCGTGTGAGACTCGTTTAGCACCGTAGAAAATTGCCAAATAGTTTCTTTCATTCTTTCTAGTTTTCATCTACACCCAAAAACCTACGCGAACTCACACCTACACACACACAGAGAGAGAAAGAGACATATATATATATATATATGTAGGATATTCTTATTCTTAAAAATTTTTGATGGAAACATCCTGATTGTTACCTTATTTTTTCATTTTATTCTACACTTATACCGCGAGAAAGTTAAACGATTAGTAATGTGGTAACACGTGCAAAGTAAAATATCAGTAAACTTCGATTTTAGTCGTTAAAAGAAAACTCGTTAGATGTAGAAGAAGATCCATGGAAAATTGTTGTTTGAAGTTGCATCAAGTTAATTTATTAGGTAAAATACTTGATAAGATCAAGAAGTGTTCGTGCGAGTAACCAAAAAAGCAAGCAAGAAAGCAAGAAAGTAAGAAAGCAAGCATCTACCTTAGTTGCCTACGTTCTCGAGCTTATTA